GATATCACATGTAACTCGATGAGGAAATAATGACATAATCAGGATGCAGACGTTCCACACTACTTCGAGCAGAAGATAAAGAAGGAAAGTCTCATCAATACTAGAAAGATCAAGAACAGTTACTGGACTTGAGAAACCCATTTTCCTGAAAAATTGTTTTAATAGAAATATTTTATAAATTTTGACCGATAGTCAATGAGTGCCGATTGTCTCTTTATAAGGAAACATGTATCATTACCGTAACTCATGCGAAACTTACTAAAATTCCTAACACACAGCTTAACCTATATTGAGATATGGAAACTGATATGACTATTTGAATATTTGGATTTTGCTGTCAATTAACTATTTTATAGTATTTTTTGTTGTTGTTGTAAGTATAGGACCACAACCTTCTAATTTTCTTGCAAACTATATTATATTTTCTGATATTTAAAATTTTATATTTTATCTTAAAATTGCTTGATAATCATTGTTCATTTTGTACTTTATTTGACAAACTGACCAAATATTTCTTGCCCCGTTATCATGGCAAATAAAATAGTTGATCTTTGATGACCCTACATACTGGATATTTAGAATAGTTACTTTTTTTATATAATTTTGGATCACTCTACATCAAACAAAGCGTTCTTAAATATGCCTAAAAATTCAAATTTTTGTTTATCAGACCATCGAGTTTTATCTGAAAATCATACCATCGAATTTTATCCCACCATTTTCAAAGCAAAGTTTATTTGAACAACACACCATCAAAGCTTGTCAGACCATCAAAATTTTTATGACAATCAAAGTTTATCTGACCAAAGTTTATCTGTACATTATACCGTCAAAGTTCATCCTACTATCAAAATTTTTCAAACTAGAGTATATCTGAACAACACACCATCAAAGCTTGTCAGACCATCAAAATTTTTCAGACCATCAAAGTTTATCTGTACATTATACCGTCAAAGTTCATCCGACTATCAAAATTTTTCAAACGAGAGTTTATCTGAACATCACGCCATCAAAGTTTATCAGACCATCAAAATTTATGAGACCAAAATTTACCTGAACATCAGAGATTATCCTATTGTAGGTTTGTTATCTGTGGTTACTGGCAAATTTTAAACGATTGCTTCAGTCTCAAGTATGATTCTTCTTGGTCGCTTTCGCAGTTAACTCAACTTTCTTTAAGTAGCGTCTTATAGTTTTAGTGGCAATATCGATTACTGCTACTTGTAATGTTGCCTGAAGATCAGATGATGTAACACGAGGGTTTTTCTTGGCCTCTCGTACAATCAGCCTTAGTGTCTGTGGTCTTACTCTGCTTGTCCGTTCTGATCTTGGCTTGGTGTTAACAGATCCACTTGATTTCCACTTATCCCGTATCGATCTTAAGCTACGAATTGGCATTTGGATTGACTTGCATTCCTTGGCTTCTCTCAGCCGTAAGTCATAAGATCTTTATTTTGGATTTATTTGGAAACACTGGACAATGCATAAATATGAAAATCTTAAGCATGCTTAAAATCTGATGGAGGTAACAATGCAAATTACTCATGAATGTTTTTATAGTTCTATTTTCATATTAATTTTCCTTTTAAATTAATAAAGCATAAATTTATTAAAGTTTTGAAATGGTAAATTTGAAGATGAGAGATATTGCTAAAATATAATTGCTTGGAAATATTAAGCTGTTACAAAGTCAAAAAATTAGGGTACTGTTGGTGACCCAATTCACTTTCTTAGCAAATTGTTTTCAAAGCGAAATTTCTATGCTAAGGCTTCTACTATTTTTTTCTCGTCTCCTACGTCGAACTTATGGGATTCTGTTCCAGCTTCTTGTTTTCCATTTTTATAAAACAGAAGAAATGGTAAAAATCATTGTAATAGATTTATGGAATAATAAACTATATTCCAAATAACAACTAAACATTGGATATTGCTATCACATCTGATTCAAAGCTGAATCTGCAATGTTATCAATTCTGACCCGGCATCTCTTTCTCACCACCGTAACGTAGCTTCTCTGTGCCTTTGTGTTGTAGAGTAGTTTTCACAGTGGAGGCTTGTATTTCGCTAAGTCGGTCCTAAAAGTGTCCGACGTACAAAACGTTAGGAACTTGAAATAAGAGTTAATGACACAGCAATCTAGTTGGCGGGTTGATACTTCAATGTCCGACATCGAATGATTCACTCAACTCCACTGAGCTCAACTGGCCACTGCTACTACTACTACTTATCTGTGGGAGGGTCTATTACAATAGAATAGGTAATGTTCTGGTATAACACTTTGCTATAAATATTTTCATGGTAATTTTTCTGATCAACTTTTGAACCTCGACTAATTTAAACGCAGTACTAGACTAATAGCTACAAGGATTGGCTGGAAAGTTCATAGGCTGACCAAGGTATAAATATACGTATAAAAATATATGCAAGTGTACCATAATACGCCAGCCGGCTGACCAGAGATTGTATTTTGACCGACAAGATGTTGTATTCTGGTACACTTGAATGTATTTTAGTCTACCAACTGGTGTATCTACGTAGATTTATATATTGGTTGCCTATGATCTTTCCAGCTGACCCTCAGAGGTTTCATCACTTTAAAGAAATTACTGGATATAACCATGAATTCTATGCTAACATTATTTTCTCGCACATCGATTGTGGAACTCACTTCTGGTTTCTTGTTTTCCAGACAACATGGATCTTTAAAAGTTTAAATGCAATATTCTTAATTCCTGTTCTTTTATTGTTCTCTGTCCTCAATAATGTTTTCTTTTTGGCATATTCTCTCACACTCAGTAACCGCCACATTGCGTCTTAGTGGTTTTATTGCCTTACTTAACGACATAATTTTTTTTTAATTAGAGAATTATGCATTCACAACAAAATGTAAAATTTACACAAGTCAAAAGTTACAATTAATTTTTTACTTAATAACACCAATTTTTGGAGAGCCACTCAAGGTAGAGGGTTAAAGCTGAAATTTTAATAATAAATGCAGTGTGAACTATGAATGATAATGGAGGTTTTAGGAAGTGGAAATGATGAGGATTAGGAGGATAGGGGATGATTATAATTGAGTTAAAAAAGATCAAGATTGAAGTGTTCAGAGAAGCCACACATGCAAGGTGGCAGTTCTTGGGAGAAAAAAGCTGAGTGAAACTCCATTCTTATACTTGAGACAGGTAGGAAATAAAGGTGATTCAACTCCGTGGAAGTAGCACGACATGTCGTAGTAGTAAATGTCTGAACTGGTGGAACTAGAGTATGGAGTTGATCTGAACATTTGCCATGGAAATAGTGATAGAGTCGAGATAGTGTAATCTTTTAGCGCCACAAGATCAGGTAAATGATTTTAAACTGTAGGTGGAAAGTGAGAACCAGGCAGCTTCGAAAGTGATATCGCAGAAATACTATATTTTCCGGCTCACAAGACGCATTACTTCCCTAAAAATATCCTGAAAAATACGTGTGTGTCTTCCAAGGCCAATGTAAGGCAACGCCCAGGCTCAAGTAAGCTTGAACGGTCAACTAATTGGCTTGACTGATAGGAACGTGGATTTGTGCGTGGAGTCATTACACTATTATGAGCACGTGGCAAACGGGCTAGAACGTTCGCTTTCTGACCATGAGACTCGGGTTTGAATCTCACCATTTGTCAGGAAGGAGACATCCTTATGTTATCGGTCTGGAGGGGGACGATGCCAGCATGTGGTACCTTTGGAAAGTGCCTGAAAACCATACCACGGTTTGACCCAAGCCTTGTGAGCGAAATTGGGTAGACGGAACCCTTGGGGGGGGCGTCGATAGCTGTGCTAGCACGAAGTCACGAGTCATCGTGGCCGAAGGCTTGAGTGTGCTGGCCTTGTTCAAATTGTTGATCACTCTAGATAACACGTTCTCACACAGAAACTGTAACTAAGGTTTGCTCAGCATAGTCACAGTATAAACCACAGGTTGGTTCTTTGGGTGTTGAATAAACACAAATGCGACTGTGTAAGAGTCTGAAATAGGTATTGGTTAGCCGCCCTAGTAGACGGATATCATCGAATATGAGTGGCCAGCTGTACATTACACTATAATGTTAGCTATATATCTAAATCCACCTTTTATAATATATAACCTCAGTATTTAGCTGTTACAAGTATTTACAAGACTATAAACCTTCCTGGATCCGAGCCACAAGGTTAAACATGCTCTGTTTGCTAGCAGAGGCGCTAACCTTTCTGCTCTTGACTAGTATGTCATTGCCATACAAACAAAATCGGACGATTTATTAATATAAACAATACATGGCGCCAGTATGTGAGAGACGCATGGTGAATATGTTTTACTATGAGAATGATGTTTTTCTTAGAAATTGCTTTTCATTGTTAAAGTGCATCTTCCAACCCGCTGCGTCTTATACTCCATCTTTTAGTTAATCAGATTCGTGTAGCGATAAAACGTGGAAGAACGAGACAGCTACTTCTAGGAGTAATATAGTGGACCGGCCATTTTTCAGCTTATTTAGCAATGGATTGTATATGTGAGTTCTACTTCATAGGGTCTGGAATGACCATGTGACGCGTCAGATTTTTGAAGTATGGAGTCGCACCGAGAGTGGAAACCTTCATCGTGATTGAAGAAAATTATGTGTGTGAAGGGTGATGCTGAAAGAATACCAGATTAGTTGTTGAAGTATTGACGTGACAAGTCAGTTATTCTCACATTGAGGTGTTATTGCTAGGTCAGATGATAGATCAGTTACAAGGTACAATTATTTTGTTTTTTGGAAGTGGGTCCATAAACAATGGCATAATCTACAGAGATGATTACTAGTGACCTGAGAATGTTCATTAGTAGTTCATTAATAAATTTGTAATTATGTAATTAACTTGATCTTTTATCAAACAAGCAATATTCAATTTTATCCAAGTTTGGCATGGATCAAATTGAACCTTGTTTGTTTGACAGAAGATCAAGTAAAGGTTCTAGGAATGTATCCTTGTGTCACAGGCAAAATGTGTCTGTATAGAAGATATTATCGTAAGACAGTACTGACAGCAACTTACAAGATTATTTTTTTTAATCATTTCATTCCAATCAATGCGATAATGTCACTAAGACGCATGGTGTGGGGTTACAGGGGATTAAAAAAAAGATGAGAAGTCTTCAGCAAGGAGAGGTGAAGAAAAGACAATAGGATTCAGGAAGACAGAAGATTGCGATTAAACTTGCACTTGATTTTTTTTTTTTTTAAAAATTGTAGGTGGCATGGAAGCAAGAAACCGGAAGGAAGTTCATCAGGTGAGAAGTGCGAGAAAAGAAACTATTAGAACAGAACTTGCAGTTGCATTTTTCTTTTCGTCTTTTTTTTCATTAATTCACATTTTTTTTTTCTATTGAAACGTTTCGTCTCTTAACAGTTAAAAAGTAAAACGATGAAACATAGTTGCCAATGTAGTAACACGCTTAAATTCACGCAGTCGAGGCAGTAAGGAAAATGGTCATCAGGACAGATGCCATGAAAATATTTGTAGAAAAGACAGAAGAAAGCCACGTCAGGTCGGTGAGAAAGGCACTGAAGTCGAGATACTTGGTCAGGATCGATTATATTACAAATCTTTCTTGTGGATTTTGTCAAGAATCTCGTGATGTATAGCAGGAGCACCAGATCAGATATGGAAGCAATGTTCAATGCTCGAACGAACAGTTGACTTATAAATGCGTTAGATGGATTCGTTCAAGAAAAAAATGTCTTGCACGACACAGGGAACCAACTTTCCTAGCAGTAGTCCTAGCAATTGATTCAATATAATCACCTCACATAATGTCAGTGGAAAATCTGAGCACGAGAAGGTGCAAAGTGTTACTCACCTGAAGGTTAGCATCAGCCATGTTAATGGGAGGGAGAAACGTTTATCTCTGCTGACTCTTGGTTGTTAGCGTGTGTTCAAGTTAGTAACTAAAGTAAATATCCCTTTTTATTTTTTCTTTCTTATCTTTTGCGTTTTTCTTTCTCTTCGTTTCTTTTTTCTCTTCTTTATTTCATTCTGCTTTTCTTTTTGCAATTTTTACATTTATTTTTCATGTTTCTTTTTTCTTCTATCCATTACTTTTCTTTCTTATTTTTCTTTCTTTTCGTATCTTTCTTTCTTATTCTTTTTCTTTCTTTTCATCTTTTTTTCTTTTCGTCTCTTTCTTTCTTATTCATTTTCTTTCTTTTCGTATCTTTCTTTCTTATTCTTTTTCTTTCTTTTCATCTTTTTCTTATTCTTTTTCTTTCTTTTCTTGTCTTTCTTTCTTATTCTTTTTCTTTCTTTTCGTCTCTTTCTTTTTCTTTTTCTTTCTTTTCGCCTGTTTCTTTCTTATTCTTTTTCTTTCTGTTGTGGTAGGATCCACCTAATTTGCATAGTGGAGTACCGACCATATAAATATGGTTGGTACCGGGAAGAGTGGGAGGAATCAAGAGATTCAACCAGAGACTCTGCCCGACTGCGACTCAGTCAACACATTCTCCAGGCACGGTCTTACCAGGAATATACAAAAGACTAAATGTAAATATTGTGTACACTTTCTTGTTTCAATACATTTTGTTCTAAGTACATTTTGTGTTGCATTATTATTCCATGCATTAGTCAAGTTTCAACACTTTCTTTTCATCTTTTTCTTATTCTTTTTCTTTCTTTTCTTGTCTTTCTTTCTTTTTCTTTTTTTCTTTTCGTCTCTTTTTCATTCTTTTTCTTTCTTTTCGCTATATTTTTCTTATTTTTCTTTCTTTTCATCTTTTTTTCTTTTCGTCTCTTTCTTTCTTATTCTTTTTCTTTCTTTTCGCCTGTTTCTTTCTTATTCTTTTTCTTTCTTTTCGCCATCTTCTTATTTTTCTTTCATTTCATCTTTTTTATTCTTTTTCTTTCTTTTCGTCTTTTTCTTTCTCATTCTTTTTCTTTCTTTTCGCCTCGCTTTTTCTTATTCTTTTTTTTTTCTTTACATCGCTTTTTCCATTGATTCCCACTGTTTTATTTTGAAATGTTGCTTCTCTAAAATTTGATTTATTTTTTCTTTTTGTCTTTGCTTTATTTTTTTGTTGCTTTCTCCATCTCTTTCTTTCTTTTTTTTTTTTTTCGCCACCTTTTTCCTGCCATTTATATTTTAATATTAACTAAGCTCAACTTACAACGGTCTAAAGCCAAATGGAGAAGATTTGAGGAGGAAGTGCAGAAACGGCACAGGGGCCACCGAAACTATAATACCCCCCACGAATCTGTGATAACCTCCGAATCTATGATACTACTCCCCCTACTCTACTACATCTCAATTTTCATAAGGTAGCATTGATATAAAATACAAATTTTATTGTAATAATATTGTACAATAATGGATCATATGCAGTATAGGTTAACAATACAAATAGAAAAACTGCAAATTAATACAGTGTAACTAAATGCAAATTACAAAAGAAATCAAACATATTTTGCGACAATTCTTAACATCAGCTTGAGATATTTCTTGTTAAAAAGTTGAATAATTTTAGCACATTTATGGTTGAATAATTTTAGCACATTTAAAATTCATGGATAGGAAATGTAATGACAAATATACACAGGTGTAGGCTTTAAGAAAGCTTTATTCAACTGAGAATACAAGGTTTATTTTATAGTTCCAGTAAACAGATATAGCTCTCTCAAAGAGAAGAGTATTGATTTTCTAAGGGTGTCTTAGATTAGGGCACATGGCCGAAAGTATGGGGCACTCAGTGAGAATCGAACTCACTATTAAATTGTAACTGTTTTAGCGAAACCAAAGAGGAGAGTAACGAAATGAGAGCACTCTTGATTATTCATAACAGGGAAATAACGAATTTTATATAGTTTTTGGGAGTATTAACAGAAACAAACAAAACAAATTGACGGATTTGGACAAAAAGACCCCATAATGACGTTTTCAGCATCACTTAAACTGCTTTTACGGCCCATCTTTTCACTAAATTCTTATACTTTTGCTAATAATTTGGCACGCACCGTGCTGATAACAAATACGGCGCCAGTTTGTTTGCATTGCGCAGATCAGTTCGATCAGTGATTCCGCAGCTCAGTGTTGCCAACATTGTGGGAAAATTTTGTGTGAATTGATTGGACGGTTTTTGAAATATTAGAAAAAAAAGTTATCTCGATAATAATTTGGCACGCAGTGTAAATGTAAGTAGAAAAAAAGGAAATGTTGATGAGATAGTGACGGTCTCAAATGCACTGCCCGAGGCCCCCAATCAGGCTTTCCCCTCAATCGGCCCTGAGGAAGAGTGTATTCCTTCAATGTTCCAGAGAGGTAGATCTTGCCTGATCAAAAAGACAGCATGACTTTTATCTGGGCTTGAAAAAAGACATCTGGGTGAGACGCAAATATGTCGACTCCGAGGCCAGCCAATTTCTTCATTTAAAGAGTATAATTTTCTACTTTAAAGGACAATTGTTGTTAAGTTGAATCTGACGTTTTGACGAGAAGCGTTTTTACATTATGACCTCAGATTACTTGAAATCTCAGCGAGAAAGTACAGAAAAGGCGGGAGAAAAGGAAATAGGAAATAATTAAAAAAAAAGTATTGTTGCCTTGTGCATCTCAAATAACTATGAAATCATATTTCAGCATCATCAGTCTTCCATTTTTTTTTTATCTCTTGTTGCTCTTCTTTCAACAGCGGTCTTTTTTCTTTTATTTTTTTTCTAGCCTTGTTGTTTTCACAATTTTCTATTATTTGTCCATTTTAAATCCGAGGAATTCGCAAGTCAACCAAAATTAAGTGATGTTTCAAAACGAGGCTTGATTGAAACAAAGAACAATGAAAAATGCGTTGCGTGTTCAGCGAGGCTACCACTCCCATATTCTCATTTGTATTTGAGGCGAAATAAGGAAACAGGAATCAAGTCATATTATCTCGTATTTTCATGTTGATAGTGTTTTTGCATTGTGAAGGAAAATGATAAGACGCCGTCTTTTGTTGAATAGCAATCTTGCAGAAAATATGTTAGATTTTCAAATAGCTTAGGGCAAGCAGTTTCGAGCCCCGGTTAAAGGTCGACGACAATAAAACTGTATGAGTGATATTTAATGTAACCCAATGCTTTCCTATCTTCGGAAGTAAGCGACATTAAAGATAAATAAGTAAAAAGATAAGTAGTAAGTAAGTAAGATTTTGTTTAACTGCATCTGCAACCTTGGGGTCATTTTAAGCTTTGTGCGTGTTGTTCTTGCATTTTTCTAATAATTTCCAAAGGTCTAATTATTTGAAAATTCTTTCATATTTAACTTTTCAAGTTTCGGTGATATTCACGATTTAGTCTTAGGTAACCAATTTTTAGAAGTAAAAAAAAAGGAAATTCGTGAAATAAAAGAAATTGATGGATTTTATTATTATTTCTTACATTATTTCATATTTAATATGAAATAATGTAATAAATAATAATAAAATTCCTTTTATATAACGAATTTCCTTTTTTACTTCTAAAAATTGATTACCTAATATATATATATATATATATATATATATATAAGGCAGGATGTGTGTGTGTGTGTGTGTGTGTGTGTGTGTGTGTGTGTGTGTAACGAATGCACGGCCGCAATTTTCGAGGGATTTGCAGCAAAATTTACATGCACATGCTCCAAGTTAGTGGGAAGGCCAAGACCGACTTTGCATTTCCCAACTCCCATCGATAGTGGAAATAATCGACTTTTTCATGCTTCTACGGCAGTTTTCATGTAGTTTGCGACCATTTTCTACTGGCCAGAGCGAGAGCCTATTGCTGGCTGCTACGAATAGGCAGGAAGATTCTATTGGCCAGCGTGAGAGCAAACAGCTGACTGACACGAATGTTAACTAGCATGCTAGCATGCAAAAAAAAATCGGTCGTTGCATTCGTCACAAGTGGGAAAAATTTAAATCTGCATGGCACTTTACTCCAATTGGCTCATTCGCTTGCAAAAACTCAACGTTGATTTTGATTCCGCAGAACTGGGTTGGGTGTGAAAAAGTATATGTTGTTAACATTCTTTTTTCATTTGGTTTTTCCAGTTACGAGTCCTTTTTTAAAGCTGATCGTTTTGTGTTCATTTTGTTTTGTTCTTTTTTCATAACAGATTTAATGTTTAGTATAGAGCTTAGAAAAAATTCGCAGTGTGAGATAGGCAAGAAGTAAGGCATGTAGCAACATCAGCACGGCAAAGAAGCATTTCACCCCCAAGAAAGGCGGGTGTGCCACTAGCACGCAAGGGTTTACAGAGAGTGAGAACCAGAGTAAAGGGCCGTGGTACGTGATAGAGGAAAGGATGAAGAGAAGGACGGGAAATTATATCAAGGTATCTGAAGCTGACTGACATTGCATTTGAATAATTGAAGATTATAGCTATCAGGGAATCAAGTAAGAGAAAGAGAGTTCCACACACAGGAAGTGCGAGACATTTAAACGTTTCGACAGTGAAAGCGAGCCACTGAGATGCTAACCTAGTAGCACGCTTAAATTCTTGTAATTTGGGAACCAGCGAAAGTGGCTCGTCGGAGCAGTTACCGTGAAAGTATTTCTAGAAAAGACAGAGGGAAGCCACATCACGTCTGTGAGAAAGTGACTGTAGACGAGATGCCAGATCAGGACCAATCACATTGTATATCCGTCTCTGTATTTTGTCGAGGGCCTTGAGACGAACAGCGGGGTCTCCAGACCATATATGGCGGCAGAATTTATATTTTAAACGTTATGTATTTTTTAGCAGTGTGAATTACATCTACCAGCCTATGCATTCTAGAGTCTTAATAAAGGAAGGGCGGGTGCGAACTTTTATTAAGACTTTCGAATGCACAGGCCGGTAGGTGTAAATCGCAATGTCGTTTTTTTTTTAAGTTTCTAATCAGAAATATGTATCCACGAAAGCAATAATAAACAATGTCGGGTTAAAAATAAAATAATTTAATACCTTAGATTAATTTGATTTGTTTCCGATACGAAAATAAAAGTTAGCTGACATGGCCTTTAAGGGATCCCAACAAGAGATTTGCATTTCTTAAATAGGGTAAATGAATCTTGCATGGCTAGGAAAGCTTTCCATGACCGAGCAATCTAAAGTACTCTCGGGCAGATGCTGCTTTCTCCTATAGGGAGGACGCAAGTTCAAATCCTGATATGGTGTTTTTCAAGACTTAGCATAAGTTAAACTATTTCACGTATTTGGGCGAATAAAATGACTGCCAGAAAGACGTTAATATCCGCGAAAATTGTTCGTCAGTTGGGATTAGTTTAAATTTAACGTAGGCTTAGGACTAAACTACACATGAATATATTCAGGAAAGGTGTTCATCTGGTCTACTACACTGATCTGCTTCTAACATCAGCACCTAAATTTAAAAAAAAAAAAAAAACTTTATTCACTTAATGGCCACGAACACAGCTAACTGAAAATCTGTTGCCATCTCAGCCACGAGGCCAGCTAAATTCTGCCTGTTTAAGCATAGATCCGGTTCTTAGTATATAAATTTATCCAAGACGATAACCTTTACTTCAGTTTTGGTTTTCCTTGTATTAGCTTCGATAAAGCCCAGGCTGCAAAGTCTCAAGTGAGAACAGGATAACGTAGCAAGCTCTAGAAATAACCACTTTGCTGCTGCGGTAATGTCGACAACAAAATTCCTTGGAACACCTGAAGTCGTAAGGCTTGTGACAAACGGAGCAACAACAGACCTAAGATGATAATGATGTGGTAAATTATTAGATCCAGGGAGCGATATATGATCGGTAGAAAACGAGGCGGTTTCAAATGCAGAGTACAGAGCTTTTCTGTCGAATCCGACATCGTCAAGTCTTGGTGACGACGAATCCTTTGATCGCTGAGTGGTCTGTGATTTCTGTCGAAGAGACGGGGAAAATTTTCAAGCAATCCTTTCTTCTCGTCTTGGAATCAACCAAAAGATGTTCAAAGAAACCAATTAACAAATTATAGCTTTGGATTTAAGAGATGTTCAGTATTTTTTCCTCCTCTATTGAGGTTCTATCTCTCTCTCTCTCTCTCTCTCTCCCCCCTCTTTCTCCCTCTACTTTTCTCCCTTGGCCCAACAAATTTTTCAACTTTCTTACTTGTTTCTTAACAGTTGGGCGTCACTCTGCAATATTCTTCTCTACCTGAATGTATTTATTTCTACAGCATTCTTCTTTCTTCCTTTCTTCCTTTCCTCTTTCCTGTCTTTCTATCTTTCTTTCTTTATTTCATATAACGTTATCTTTCCTTCTTTTTTTAACATCAACTGTTTTCTTTTGTTCTTATAACATCGGCTTTTTTTCTTTCCTTCTGATAACACTCTTTTTTTCTTTCATATAACATTATCTTTCCTTCTTGTATTCTTTTATTCTCATAACATCGTCTTTCTTTCTTTCTTTCTTTCTTTTAAACTTGTTTTTATCTTTTTTCTTATAGCACTGTTTCTTTTTTTCTTTCTTTCTTTCTGTTAAACTCGGCTTTTTTCATATAAAATTACCTTTCCTTCTTCCTTCTCATAACATCGTCTGCCCTTCTTTCTTTCTTTCTTTCTTTCTTGTTTTTGTCTTTCTTTCGTTCCTATAGCACTGTTACTTTCATATAACAGTATGTACCTTTTTTCAACAACTCTTTTCTTTCGGACTTATAACATCGTCTTTCTTTCTTTCTTTCTTTCTTTCTTTCTTTCTTTCTTTCTTTATTTATTTATTTATTTTAAACTCGAATTTTTCTTTCCTTCCTATAAAACTATTTCTTTTTTCTTTCTTTCTTTCTTTCTTTCTTTCTTTCTTTCTTTCTTTCTTTCTTTCTTTCTTTCTTAATTTCATATAACATTACCTTTTCTTCTTTTTTCTTTCATTCTCATAATATCGTCTGTCCTTCTTTCTTTTTTCTTTCTTTCCTTTAATCTTGTTTTTGTCTTTATTTCTTTCCTATAGCATTGTTTCTTTCTTTCTTTCATATAACAATATCTTCCTTTTTTCAACATCAACTCTTTTCTTTCGTACATATGACATTTTCTTTCTTTCTTTTAAACTCGGCTTTTGCTTTACTTCCTTCGCCTTCTTTCTTTCTTTCTTTCTTAAAACATTACGTTTCCTTCTTTTTTTTTCATTAAATCTTGTTTTTCGTTGCTCTTTTTTTCTATAACTGTTTTCTTTCTTTATACGAAATTGTTTTTCGTTTCTCACTTCCATTTCCCTCGTTTTCGTTTCTTTTTTTCCTTAATTTCTTTTTCATTTACAACTCTTTCATATTTTATTTCTTTCAATCTTTTCATTTCACTGTTTTCACTCCCTCTGAATATAAAATGAAGATCATTTAAATTCTGTAATTCTATTTAATCCTTCCTTCCCTTTTCAATTTCGAAAACCTTTCGAGCCTTTTTTTTTTCTTTTCTATAACTAAATTAATCGCAAACAACTAGTGCACAAGCTGGGACTGCTTTACACAAAACGACCAGCCTGTGACATCAACTGTGGATACTAGCAATTGGTTTTGACTTCAAAAAATAAGAATTATTTTAATAAGAAAAAATAGAAATAGAATAAAATAAATAAATCGCATTATTTTGTGCAACCCCGTTCCCAATAGCCGTTATACATGACGTCACGCTAGACTAATTCAAATTTTTAGCCTATCAAAAAATACCAGGGTGTAGGAATTCTAACTCGCACACAGACAACACATTTTTTCTTGATAAAGATTGCAACGGTCAAAAGTCCGTGAAAATTTTTTAGAAAAAGATGAATCTCAGACAGTTTATCCACAACTTTCAGCATAATATTCAACACTTTATAAAAAATTTGAAAAATATACTAAAAAATTAGACATACAGACTAAGTCGTTTCTTTTTAATCAAACTTATACATATATATATATACATATATATATATATATATATAGAGAGAGAGAGAGAGACAGACAGACAGACAGACAGAGTTATGGAATTTTTTTTTCCAAATATGCCAGTGTTCATAGTTGATGTTATTGAGTGTTGGCTTTCTATTTTATGATCAATGTTTCCATTATTTTTAGTCGTTCTTTAAACGTGAATGATTCTATTATACTTGTATGTTTTATGAGTATGTCGTTGATACATTTTGGTAGGTTTCCGTGTGGTTTTAAATGTTTATTTAAAATGAAATAAAAAGGTTAAACGCAATACTTTTTCAGTCGATTTTAAAGAAACTTCTATAAAAGAGGACTGCAGCCCAAATACACAATTATATATATATAATATGCATATATATAATATGCATATATATATATATATATATATATATATATATATATATATATATATATATATATATATTTAATATGCATGTATATATACATATGTGTGTGTGTGTGTTTATTTATATATATATATATATATATATATATATATTAGATATTGTATATGTGAGGTACTTATTGGAAAGGGCTCAATATCAATGATAGCAGTAACATACTCAGTTGTATGGCTGTCAGTTTGTAAGCCTGGGTTTCACACTTTTTGCAAAATCGTGAAATCCAGGGTTACAAACCTACATCCATACAACTAAGAATATATATATATATATATATATATATATATATATATATATATATAATTATAAATATGTTAAAAAATCACTACATTAATAGCCATTTTGTTTCTGGTGTCTTATCAAGTGATGATGTAGATTGTAGAATAAAGGTTTCAAATTAATTAACCACCCCTCGTAAGGGGAAACTTGTGTATATATATATATATATATATAAGAGTGGATTTTTTATTAATCAATTTAAACCTTTCTTTTTGTAGATATACGTATTTGCGAAGGCGGTCCATTTAATAAATTAAACAGTATAATTATTTATTTTACCCTACCGGCCTGAATGTTCCAGAAATGTTATTAAAGAAAGTTTTGGTCTCTCCTCAGGATTTGAACCTTAAAGGCACAAAACTTATTTATGTTGATTAGAGCGAGCTGGGATAAACTGTAGCTACCTCTGCTCTGCGGGACGTAGGTTCAAATACTACCGTAGACCACAATTTTTTCTTTAATAAGAACTTCCTAATATTCAGGCCGGTGGAAAAAATAAATGATATACTAAATAAACGGAACGCCAACTCAGATAAGAGTATCTAGTAAAACTATCGTTTAGTTATATAAATTATGAATATTATAAATATTAATTATAAATATTCTCCGCTCTGTTGCATAGAAATGAACAAAAGGAGACAAGAAAGGGTACCAATATAATCAGATCGATAAATATTTAGTGAATATTAATTTTTAACGATACACACACACATACATACATACATACATACATACATACATACATATATATATATATATATATATATATATATGTGTGTGTGTGTGTGTGTGTGTGTGTTCATTAAATAATATAGACAAGTGTTGTCTATTAATTTTATGTAAATTCTTTTCATATCGTCTGATAAGCTTAATAATATTATCATTAAACGAGGAAAGAAAATCACAATATTGATACATATTTTTTAATCCTATCTAAGCTTTCGGCTTACATAAGCCATTATCAAAGATGACAATTACATTACAATATATTAAGCAATACACGGACAATACAGTAATGATAGTCTGTTTCTGTTTACATGGAAGATTTCCAAACAACGACAAACTCGTGTATATAAGACGCTGGAAGCGAAAATCGTACCGAAGCTCACGACGTCACACATGACCACGCGAGATTGAATTTAAGAAGTATTAAGTATGGGAAGCCGTTGGTATAAACCAATGGCTTCTGTTGCAAATTATAGGCATTTAAGAATATTTGTGGTGATTTCATAGTTTATTTTGTTCTGGTTAGGTTTCAACTGTTTTATGTATATAGCTTCATGAATTTTTAGTTTTTGTTTATTGTTTTTATGTTTAAGTATAGTTGTGTTTTCAACAAGGATTTTGCGGAATTGTGTATGCGGTCAGGCATGTTGTTTTAAATGCCAAAAAATGTTTGATTTATCATTCTAATATAGTGTCAAACTTCGTGAAAGCGAGTTTGTGGTGTGACCAACATAAGTATTATTTAATTCGTTGGAGATACAATCTCCCAAAGGGCACTTGAATTTGTAAACTATGTTTGTTTTTTGCAAATCGCTAACCGGGGGAGAAGAATCATTACGAATAATTGAGTTGGATATACTAGATTTAGTATAGTATATGATTAACTCAATTTTTTGCTAGGATCTGTTGTAGGTATATTAGTATTTACAATTTTTTTTTAGTATATTCTCATCTTGTTATATATACACAAAGGTGTATCGCCTGATTCGATAAATTTTGAACACATATTTTCATTCCAGAAGAAAATTGCCAATGTACAAAATAGCGAAATATTAAGCATTCAAATCTTGTAAATGGAACAAGGAATTTCTCGTTTTTGTTTCTTTTTCCTTTAAATTCTTTTTCATTCACAACTCTTTCATGTTTTCTTTCTTTCCTTTTGTAATAAACTGAAAGTCGTTTAAATACGTTTCTTTCTATTTACATTTGTTTTCTTAACTGCCTAAGTTTATTTAGATTCATTTTCTTTCTGTCAATTAATGGCAAGTAACTAATCCACAAACTGGAAAAGTTTTTCGCCATACTCATTTACAGTAGAATCTACTATCGTCGCGAGTCGCCATCGAATGTTGGTGGTCTTCTGGCAACTACCGGCGCTGGAAGCACACACACACATGCATACAAACACACACACATACATACAAACACACACACACGCACATACATACAAACACACACACACACGAACATACATACAAACACACACACACATACATACAAACACACACACACACATACATACATACAAACACACACACACGCACATACATACAAACACACACACACACGAACATACATACAAACACACACACACATACATACAAACACACACATACATACATACAAACACACACACACGCACATACATACAAACACACACACACACGAACATACATACAAACACACACACACATACATACAAACACACACACACATACATACAAACACACACACACATGCACATACATACAAACACACACACACACATACACACAAAAGAACGCAGGACCAATATTAAGAAGAAGAGACACCTTCTGTAAATTCATTCAAATCTTACATTATTAAAACGTGCCTTCTCAGAGATTGTTAAGGATTTTAAACTGTACATTGAGGTATGTGAAACCCCCCTTTTTTTAAGCGAGTAAATTAAGATTTTGTCCAACACCATCCCTATCGAAGAGACAACATGTGGCTGTCTTCATAATCGAATCTATCCCCACCCAAGCTACCTCGTCACCAGCGGGGCTCCGGACTGTGTTCGTAGTTCACAAGTATTATCATGGTGTGAGTCACTTATGGATTATTTTTCTTGGTGGTTGGTTGCACACTAAGAATAGATTGGTGCCACGTTTTTAGTGTATCAAACAACAACACAAAAGATTGTGTTTATAGATAATTAATGTTTGTTTTTATACTTTTGAGGTTGCTATAAAATATTGTGCGTGTAGAAGACATTAAGTACGCTCTATTTAAGTTATTTATGACTGCCCATTTTGTATCTGTGCG